ATAGGAATTCCCCAAATGTTTCACTGGCATTATTAATAATAAATAGTATCTGTCATTTCCACACTTACTATAGGAAAAGGTTTTAATTCTCAAAATAACTCCATGACGTAGAGACCGTTATTTCCATTTTAAAGTTGAGGAAACACAGGGATAGATAGATGAGTTTCTAATAAACAATGTGTTAAGTAAATCTCCTATTCCTAAGTTTACTACATATTTTAAAGTCAGGAATGGATACTGAATTTCAAAAAATGTCTTTCACATCTATTGAGACTTTATGATTTTCATCCTTTAAAGTATTAAAATAATAAATAGATTTTCAAATGTTGAACTATCTTTGCATTCCTAGACTGAAAGAATACACTATGACAAAGTAGAGTTTAATGCTCTACTGGATTTGCTTTTATATTATATTCGATACGATTTTGCATCTACAATCATATTTAAGGGAAAATAGGAATAAATTTGATAGACAACCACTGGATAAAAATCAGTATAACATAAAAAGGAAAAAAAAACTAAAACTAACATAATCATGCTTAAGTTGCTTCCCAGATCACTAGACACTCAGAAAAAGTCAAAACCCAAGTAGCTTCTTGTACCCACATAATTGAAAAATAATTTTCCTTTCTAGTCAGAATAAGGAATAAGATGACCTGACTCAAAAGGAAAATGTTTTGTAGCCTTAAAAATTTCTGAGGGGCCGGCCCTGTGGCCGAGTGGTTAAGTTCGCGCACTCTGCTTCTGGGGCCCAGGGTTTTGCCAGTTCGAATCCTGGGCGCGGACATGGTGCTGCTCATCAGGCCATGCTGAGGCGGCGTCCCGCATGCCACAACTGGAAGGACCCACAACTAAAAATACACGACTGTGTACCGGGGGGCTTTGGAAGAAAAAGGAAAAAAAAAGAAAATCTTTAAAAGAAAAAAAAAAAAATTCTGATAGCTTGAGATCTGCTCTGCTGTGTTACTGCACCAAAAAGCCTAGAGTCGAGTCTCTCTCTTAGAATGCATCATCTCTGTCTTAAAGACAGGGAAACTAGAGAGCAAATATCCAAGGGTTGGAAGAAAATCACTTTGTCATCGACACAAGTAATTTCCTCGATAATAATTTTAGAGACGCATTTAGATTATGCAAAGAAAGGGAATGCGCCTAAACAGAAAATTCTAGCACAGAACTTTAGGGACTTCAGGATCACTATTATTGCTTTAGATTAATGGTACAGTGTATTTCTGAAAGGAATAGAGGTATATGATAAAGGGAAGCTACATGGAGCCTAGAGGGCTTAGGGCTTCTGGACAGTCAAAGCCTCCTTACTGTTTAGGACATAGAAATCGGGATTCCAAATCATAGTTTGATTTTGGTGATGGTGAAAAGGACTTCTGAGGGCACTGAAACCTAGTGTTGGTTCTTCACTTTCCATAGCAGAATTCAGAACCTCATCAACTGTATATCCTGTTCATCTTGAGTATCCTCAGCACCTAGAACAGTGCCTGGAACTCAGCAGTATCCACAGATAGCAGGAACTCTGACTTGGGTTTGGGTTGTATGAAATGTAGTGGCTGTGTCCTCATGATTTTATTCTTAGATCATTTTTCATTTTGGTACCATCAACTACACTAAATACCCCCCAAAAGATGACTGCTGGCAATATATAATATTCCCTGAGGACACGTGGAAAGTACATTTACATCTAAGTATTTTTCCATCATACAAAGGAAATGTGTGTTAGTGGAACATACCTCTAAAAGCCAGTCTAGAAGTATTGACCTCATCTGGGGCTCCAGGTCGGAATGCAGAACTTCAAAATGTTTATCATGAACGTATCTGGTCTCTTTTTTTAACATGTTTAGCCAAACATCCGTTGAACATCCCCAGCTATGAAAAGGGGAATAAAGGAGTAATTCAATTGTGTGATCTACATAATACACAAACTATCTGTTTTACATAGAATAAACTCAGCTTCCAGACACTGAAATCTAACTTTGAATTAGAAGTTGGAAGGAGAAGCTCTTAAAGTAACGTAGGAAAAAATTACCTTAATTTTTAGAAACCATTTCTTTAGCATGAAAAAGGAGAAGCCTGAAATTATACAGCAAGAACTTAGACTATGATAATCTAAATTGATAGATTTCAAGAGTGCTTTCTAGTCCCCATTTATTTATCATTTATAAAGGTTCCTGTTTAAGATAACCATGTTTTCTCAAGAGCAATGCTAAAGAGGCAAGTATTTAAAGCATATGATCCCAGTATAGACAAGTCTCCATCATCTCCAAATAGATCATCAATAGTAGAATCACCTACAGTGGGGGTAAGGTGGGACAGAGTATGGTGAAGGGGAGGGTTGCTGAGTTTAAATGTCCGAGCCCATTAATTTGCTTATTAAAGCCAAATAAAAATTACTACGTTTTGTATAAGCTGTACTTCTTAGTCATATGCATTTACTAAAAAAAAATTACATATAGACATTATTAAGCTTGGTAAGAAACAGGGTTGACATGTCAAATGAAAATGCTGTACATGTTAAAATGCTTCCACCTTAACAATTTAGATAAATTATTTAAACTCCATCAAAAAGCTGATTCAGTTCTTCTGATAAGGCTTACTATACTCAGCAAGCAAACGAAAATAACTTTATAGAACCAATGTTTTAAATACCCATATCATTTGCAGATAGCACTACTCTGAGATAAAATATATGCTTGAATATTAGTAAAGAGCAATTTTTTTTTACAAGTTTTCCTATGAAGGCAAAAATAACTCAAAGTAGCAGCATATATTAGTACAATTTTAATCTTTCATGTTAAATTACTGGAGTTTTTCTTACCTTAAGTCAGGCAAAGGTGAAGGATTAATAAAAAGATTTTTAAATCTGTAATTTGTAAATCTGGAGAAGTCACTTGTTCCTATTTCCTTGTGGGGTGTTTCAATGATAATGCAAGGACTGATACCCCCAGATAATACAGGTGGCCAGCAATTCTGTCATGAAAAAGAAGAAAAGACGACTGCCTATTCATGCAATAGGAAACCAGCTTTTGTCTTGGATCTTTCATAAATGGAAGCTAATATTTCTAAACAGTCTACAGTTTTCCCCAAACACCATTGTTAGCTAACATTGCTGACAATCTAGTTAATTTGACATTCATATTTTATAAATAAGCTGTATAGCTCATATCAGTCTTGATAAAGAGTAACAAGATGTTTTAGACAAAAAAATTCTGAAAATACAAGATATTAAGTATTGGAGGAGGGGGGAATGACAAAATGCATCTTTAGTCAAATACTAATCACTTTCAAGATTATAAAATTGAAATTCTCCGTCTGTATTTAGCAGCAGTAGCAAGGGCACCTTGTTTTATAAAAAGGTGTTTTTCCAGTTAAGTCTGCTCTGATACTTTAGAATACTTGAAGGTAAAACCTTAAAAATGGAATCAAGTGTAATCAATTACTTAAATACTTAAAGGACCCTTTCCCCAATCAATGCTGCTTTCAAAGAGAACCAAAATGTTTTCTGTATAACACATAGGAAAGAATAGGTAGCAGAGGGCTGGGTGCCAGTCTGTCAGTGAATCGAGATCCTATTTATTCCCCAAGGAGCGGCTATTAGGACCCTGCACTGTAGTCAGAGGGAACAAAGAGCAGTACACTGGACAGATTAGGCGGGCCTTGGTGCGCCAGGCAGCTCCAAGAGGGAGGGCTTTACAAAGAGGAACCAGCTGCTTCAAGGCAAACTTACTCCGCAGCTGTAGTAGGATTCAGGCACATACAAGCCACCTAAAGTATGATAAGCGCCTGCCTGCTGACCTCTAGGGGCATTAAGTGTCAGAGAAATCTTTCTATTGCAAAGCAATAGCACAATCCTATTCTTATTCGTCCTGCATTTGTTCCCCTCAAATCCACTGAGCCGGTTATGCATTACCCTAATCTCATACTGGTGTTTCTTGGTGACCTCCTCTTTCCTTTTTTTGACATCCTGGAAAATAGAAAAGACCACTGTTAAACTAAGGCCCCAGCACGGAATTTCCTCTCTCCTCTTCCCTTAACTCACCTGGGCTGTTTTTCTCTTCTTGGCCTGAATTATCTGGGCTTCTTGCGGGGAATCCGTCTGGTTGGGCTGGGGCTGCTGTTTCGCTTGTAAACGGCTACTATAATAAATTTTTTAAAAGGAAGTTTAATAAGTCACGAGTTTCGAACGCAGCAGCTAACTTTGAAACATATCTCCAAGACAACATTACCTGCGTCTTGACATTCTCTTCTTTCAGGTGTATGAAACCTCTAGAGGGGAGAGGAAAAACCCGAGTCAAATACATTGTCATCTGTATTCTCCAAGTGCCAGTTAGACGCTGATTCAGAGGTTACAGCCAAGTCCCTCAGGAGATGGCCTGAGCCAGTTTACCGTGCTGTCTTCACTGGTTTAGTTATCTCATGGTATTAATTTTGGACACGTGCCTGCATTTCCCCAACTGAATGTACAGCCAATATACAGCCGGGGTGCAAGTGTCTTCAAAAATTTACAAAGCACCTTAAGCACCCAGAACACTCAGGGAGACAGATCTCCCCCAAAGGGGTTTTTTTTTTTTTTGCGTCCTCCATCCTGCCCCCGCACACCCCGAATGGGGTTTGGGCAGTGCCCCCAATTCCCCTCTCCCATCCGGGACGAGCCGCGGGGAGAGGGGGTTGTGGAGGCGAAAGGCTGTGGAGAAGCCGGTTCCGCGCCAATTTGGAGAGCGGCGGTGGCGGGGAAGCAGAGGGCGGAGGGAACTTGTGTCACGTCCTTCAGTCTCCTTTCCCTCCTTCCCGGCCCCACAGGGCCCTGCCTGTCGCTTGAAGCGGCACCGGGACCCAGACCCCAGATCGAGGGGTGGGAGTGAAGGAAAGGGAGTTAAAAAGGGGGAAAACTGGGCTGGTCGGGGAACTTCTCTCCCCCTGAAGGGGACCCAGACCCCCATGCTCTTTCCCGAGAGATAGCCCCCAAATGGAAGTGGAAGAGAGAAGCCCCTAGAATGAGGGGCTTTTCCGTGGCCTTCCACTTCGGGGCATCCCTCCATCCCCCACCGCTTCCCCAGCCCCCTGCCAAGAGTCCTGACAGAAGCGGAGCGCGGGGACCCATACCCCGACCGCCTCGTTCTCAGCCTTCCCATTTTTCCTCCCCGAGGCTCCCGCCCGCGGGATCATCGGCCCAGGGGGCTTTCTTTCCTCCCGCATCCCGCCCTGCACCCAGCACCTCCTCACCGCCAGACCTGCTACCGCTCGGCGCTCAGCTGGCGCCGGCGCCAACCCAATATATAGGCCGGGCCAGGCCCGCCCCGCACGCATGCGCCTCAGCCTGACACCTCCGGACAGCGCGCTCCCCTCCCCCGCGCGCCCGCCGGCGCCCGCCCCCCGGGCCCGCGTCCCGCGCCCTGCCCTCAGTCGGCTCCGGCCCACCCCCAAGGGGCTGCAGCACCCACTCGCCCAGGCCCTCAGTCCGCGTTCACCTGCGCTCCGCTTCACCTGCCTGCGCGGCTCGGCGGCGGGAGGCAGTCTTAGAGGCTGCTCCTCCGCGTCCCGGCTCCCCGCCGCCCGGCTCCCGCATCTCCCGCCAGTACGTTCCTGTCCCCTCCCGCCCTCAAGTCCCGGATCGCGGGGGTGTCAGGCCGCGGCTCAGACACGGCGTACGGCCAAGTGGTGGCGGCTCGGGGGAGCAAAGAGTGGCCAGGAAGTGGACATCCTGCGGCGCACCCTGGCTGTCCCGCCAAGGCCTGAAGGAACCCGGTTCTTTCCTAAGAGACGAGGGGACCAAAAGGGCCCGCCCCTGCGGGAGGAGCGCAGCTTCGGCTGGCGAGCTGGCCAATGGGAGGCGAGGACTGCAGCACAACGTGGAGCGGCTGCAGAATGTAAACACAGCCCGGCGAGCGTCCGGCCACGTGTGTCCCCGCGCGCCACCCGTCGGGCCCCTGGGACCACCAGGGGCGGCTGTGGCACACCAGGGCAGCCATGCTCCAGGATGCCTATCTTGCACTTTGCTCCAGCCCGCCGGCCGAGGTATGTATCAACCCCGTTTTCCCGCTCCCTGCTCCGCTGACCCGGCTACCCTCGTGGTCGGTGGCTCACTCTGCAGCCCGCCTCCCTGCCCCTGCCTGGCGGCTTCCCACCCTGTAGTCGTCGCGCAGGAAACGCTCACGCCCTGCCGCACCCTCCCTTCCTCTCCTCCCAGTCTCCAATTCCGGGGCCTCCAAGGGTCAAACACCTCTCCAGAGCAGGGCCGAGGGTGGCCTTCCCCCTTCTCCACCAGAGCGGCGGCTCTGCGGGGGCCTGGCCCAGCGGGAAGAACAGTCCCACCACGTGCGGCCCGGGCCCGCCCACCCCGCCCCGCCGCTAGCGCGCCCTGCGGAGCCCGCGCGAGCTGCCCGCGCGGGAGGGAGCCGCCCGCCTCCGAGCTATAATGGGAGGAGGCGCGTCCGATGCATTTCCTTCTCTTTCCTCCCATATCTAAACTTAGGGGTACCCTCACTGTTTCTATTAACGCCCCACCCGAGCGCGCCTCAAGACCGGACATCTCCAAGTAGGACATGCCGATGATACTCTGCAAACAGGTTTTCCAGCGGGAGCAGTGGGGCGGGGGACGCCTCCAGGAACAAAGACCCCCGAGGTGGAGGAGCCGTGCGGAGGCTTCCTGGAACCCGCGGCGCTCGGGCCGGACGCCGACCGGCCGTGCTCGTCCCCCTGCCCTGGCCCTGAGTGAGCCCTGGGAGAGGTCCGGGGGGACGGAGCCGCCGGGGTGGCCGCGCGTCGCGGCCCAGGCGGGAGCCCTTCCCAAGATGCACCAGGCGGTTGGTCGCGGCGGCGGCGGCGGTGCCCGGGACCGAACTCGGGTCGCCGCTCCGCGCCTTTTGTGCTGCTCCGCCCGTCCCGGCCTCAGAGCCTAGAAATGAGTGCTTCTCGGGGTTTTCGGGCCGGCAAAGTCCTTTTTCACAGTTTCTCTTTCGATTCTTAGAAAGGTATCGTGACACCGACAAAGTAATTGTTTTCAAAACTGGTGGCCTAAATGAGTGAATTTGATAATCAAAATATACTGAAAACCAGGGATGTCTGTTAACTTTTGTAGGATAGCACTGGACTGACTAGTAAATTACTTGTAAATGAGACATTGTAATTATAGGAATGAACTTTAGTCAATGTGTTCCCCATGCCCTTGACTATGAAGTGAATGAATGCAATCATAGTAAAGGAAAAATTAAAAACAATCCCAAGTCTGCTTTGTGTGGAAACGAACAGGATGAATTCTGCCATATTACAAGTACCTGTTCGGTGGTCAAATGGGACTAAAAAGAATATGGGTTTGGGGCCGCCCCGTGGCCGAGTGGTTAAGTTCCCGTGCTGTGCTTGGTGGCCCAGGGTTTCGCCAGTTCAAATCCTGGCCGTGGACATAGCACCGCTTGTCAAGCCATGCTGAGGCGGCATCCCACATGTCACAACTAGAAGGACCCACATCCAAAAATACACAACTATGTACAGGGGAGGGGCTTTGGGAGGAAAAATAAAATCTTTAAAATGAAAAAAAAGAATGTGAGTTTACCTCTTAGATGGACCGAGGTTCCAGTCCTGCTCTGTTGCAAGTTCCCGAATACCTCGGAGCGTGGGTTTCCTCTAGAAAAGATGTAAGATGCTCATTTTAAGGGGTAAAGATTTTTTTTAATTTTTCCTTTTTCTCCCCAAAGCCCCCTGGTACACAGTTGTGTATTTTTAGTTGTGGCTCCCTCTAGTTGTGGCATGTGCGACGCCCCCTCTGCAAGGCTTGATGAGCGGTGCCATGTCGGCGCCCAGGATCTGAACCAGCGAAACCCTGGCCCTCGCCCCCACCCCAAGCAGAGCCCGCCAACCTAACCACTTGGCAATGGGGCCGGCCCCTTAAGTGTTATTTTAAAGATTAAATCTGATAAAGTATATAGAGACCCTCTCTTGCATATGTACCTGTCACAGAGCAGATGCTTAGTGCTAGCTCTTCACTCTCCTGTCCACCCCTCTTACTGGTTTATAACCATAGAAATTAAGAAGTAGTTTTAAGGATCCTGAATAAAACAGAAAGCTGAATTATAAAATTGCTGTTTCCCAGAATTTTGTGCATGTAGTCGTCCTTTTAGGTACCTACTTTAGACGTCATCTTTCAATACATTATCTTTGTTTCATAATTCACCTACTTTCAAATGTATAAAATTCCTTTATATGTGTAATAATTTTAGGAATTTTGGCATTTTCTAAAGTATATTTTCCGCGTTGTACATGCAAAGTTGAAACACCATGGTAAATAAACTATTGGCCTCTACAGTGCTTTCATTTTCAGAAAAGAAAAAGAAAGCAGGAAGATTCTTAGAGGCACAGGTTTAAAAAAATCAGGCTGAACCCGCTTATTTCTTGCTTCTGTGCCTTTTCTTTGCCATACTGCCTCTGTGAAGCCTTCCCGGACTCTTTTCTCTGTGCTCTACAGTTATGCTACCTCACAGGATGATAATTACCTAGTAAAATGTCTTTTAGGGGGCTGGCCGGTGGCGCAGTGTTTATGCAGGTTCCACTTCCGGCTCCGGGTTTGCAGGTCCCGATCCCTGGTGCGAATGTGGCACCGCTTGGCAAGCCATGCTGTGGTAGGCATCCCGCATATAAAGTGGAGGAAGATGGGCACGGATGTTAGCTCAGGGCCAGTCTTCCTCAGCAAAAAGAGGAGGATTGGCAGCAGATGTTAGTTCAGGGCTAATCTTCCTCAAAAAAATAAAGTAAAATGTCTTTTGTCTCCAACCAGGCTTTGGACCTTGTTTTATCTTTTTATTGCCAGTACCCAGCAGTTCAAAGGCATACATAGTAGGATCTGGGCAAATATTGAATTGAATTATGTATTGGATATCCCATCATAGAACTTTAATTCTCTAGGTTAGAGTGGTGGGTGGTAGAATTATTCCCAATGAATATTAGGCCTTTTTTGTATTAATAGACTATTTTATAGAAAAGTTCTAGGTTTACAGAAAAACTGAGCAGGTAGAAGAGAGCTTTCATATACTCCTCCACCCTCCACCACCACCTCATCCCTGTTTATTGACATATTAGTGTGATACATTTGTTACCATATGAACCTATGTTGATGGATTAACTAAAGTTCACACTTTATTCAGATTTCCTTACTTTTACCCTAATGTGTTTATTGCTGCAAGATCCAAACATCACATTTAGAAATCACATCTCCTTAAGGTTCCTCTTGGCTGTGACAGTTTCTCAGACTTTGCTGGTTTTTAATGTCCTTGATAGTTTTGCAAATTGCTGGTTAAGCAGTTTGTAGACTGTCTTTCTATTGGAATTTGTCTGATGTTTGTTTGATGGTTAGACTCGGGTTTGGGGTTTGGAGTATGAAGATCATAGAGATGAAGCGCCATTTTCATCACATCGTATCAGGGATACGTACTGTCATCGTGCTTTATGACTTGATGTTTGCCGTTGGCTAAGGTATTGTTTGTCAGGCTTCTCCATTGTAAAGTTACTCCCCCCCCCCCCTTTCCATACTATACTCTGGAAGGAAGTCACCATGTGCAGCCAGCACCTAAGGAGTGGAGAGTTAGGCTCCACCTCCTTTAGGGTGAAATAGCTGTATAATTTATTTGTAATTCTTCTGCATGGGAGATTTGTCTCTTCTCCATTTATTCATTCATTCAGTGATTTATATCAGTGGATATTTATTCACTCATGGATATTTATTTTATACTTTGAATTATAATTCAATATTACTTTATCTTGTTGCTCAAATTGTTCTAGCTTTGGCCAGGGTTTTTTTGTTTTTTTTTTAAAGATTGGCACCTGAGCTAACATCTGTTGCCAATCATCTCTTTTTTTTTTCCTTCTTCCCAAAGCCCCCCAGTACATAGTTGTATATTCTAGTTGTAGGTCCTTCTGGTTGTGCTATGTGGACACCGCCTCAGCATGGCCTGATGAGTGGTGCCATGTCCATGCGCAGGATGCAAACTGGTAAAACCCTGGGCTGCCAAAGCGGGACACACGAATTTAACCACTCTGCCACAGGGCCAGCCCCGGCCAGGGTATATTTAATACTTTTTTATTTCATGGGACCAATTTAAAGTTAAGCAAAAATGAATACAGCTAAATGATAAACAGTATTTCTCACGTAATCTCACAAGAAAGGAATAAAACATTTTTCCAGGGCCAGCCCGTGGCCTAGTGGTTAAAGTTCCGCATTCCATGCTCTGCTTCTGTGGCCCAGGTTCACAGGTTTGGATCCTGGGCGCGGACCTACTCCACTCATCAGCCATGCTGTGGAGGCATCCCACAGACAAAGTAGAGGAAGATTGGTGCAGACGTTAGTTCAGGGCAAATCTTCCTCACAAAAAAACCAAAAACAAAAGAAAACATTTTTTCCCATTTGATTAAATTTGCTTATTATCTGTCTTAGTCAAAACACATCTATAGAAAAAAAATCCATCCAAATTTTAATAATGAATTACTTACTAGACTATCCCCTTTATTGCTTCCTCACGGACATTTTTCAGTAAACTAGCTTTTTTTAATGGTAAGTGGTGGAACAATAACTACTAGTCTAGTTTGGTGCCACTGCCTTGATTTATGCTAGGGCACCAACAGCTTTAGCTACCATTGCATTTGCATTATCACAGCAAACAATAACACGGTTAAAAAGGCAAATCCCTTAATTTTATTATGTAAATAGTTTTGACCTTGTGGTCCCCCTTAAAGGGTCTATGCACCACCTCCCCAGAGATCTATGGATGACACTTTAAGAACTGCAGATCTAGTTTCCAAACCAGAATGCTGAGAGTCATCTTGGTCATTCCTTTCTTCTTTTTTCTGAGCTCCATGATTACAGTTAGCACTTCCTGAGTAAGATGATATGCCAAACTCTAAACTTTTACATTGCATTAACTCCTGTAATCCTCCACCAGCACTGTGAGATTGGTACTATTACTGTCATTCCTGCTTTCCAGATGGGGAAGCCAAGGCACAAATGTGCCCAAGATTCAGAGTGGAGTTTG